CACACACACACACACACACACACACACACACACACACACACACACACACACGAATACCAAAAAGGAGAAAAAGGAGAGGAAAGAAGGAGCAAACCACAGCAGAACACCCGCCAACCACCCACTCACAGCGACTGCACACAATGTTAAAACTGGGTCAACCGTCTACCCGACCTGATCTGACACTGACATGTTATAATAAAATTAACATCGCTTTGAAACCTTATTAGACATAATAATAATAATAATAATAATAATAATAATAATAACAACAACAATAATAATAACAATAATAATAATAATAATAATAATAACAATAACATAATAATAATAACCATCATAATAATACCATTAATTAAACCTGGACATTCAATAAGAGCACACAAAACAACACATATATATCTCACCAGCAGAGGAGCAGGAACCCAGGGCAAACAGAGACACACAAACCAGGAGGATTTTGGCGATCATGCTGGGGAGAGATCTTCTGGAACGAATAAAAATTTAGAGCATTGGGGCTCAGCTTTTACTCTTAAAAACTAAGACCCCTTTGTCTTATCTCGATTTTTTTTTTTCCAGACGTCACAGATTGGTCAATAGTCAAAAACGTACATAGAAAAAAACCCAAGAATATTAACCCCCACAGAATCTTGTATAACAAGGATTTGTTTGAGTTATAACCGTCTGTTTTTATTATTTATTTTTTGAAAGGTTTGAAGACATTGTTCGTACATGGAGATAAAGCAGGTTACGCGACATTTCGACCTGTTTAAATCTCATTTCAAAATACCCCCACAGAAAGGGACTGATAGCTTTCTTCAATTCTGTAGTTCTTTTTTTAGAAAAAAAAATACTTAAACCAAGAGACTGTTTTTGTGCTAGTAAATGTAGATTGATAATAAAGGCTATGACACTCTTGACTGAAAGGGTTGGGTTTTTTTGTTTTTTTTTTTGTTTTTTTTTTTGTTTTTTGTTTTTTTGGGGGGAGTGTGTCAAGAGTATGCTTGATAACACAGAACCTCAGACCATATAGGTTCGTCTTGTTCAAGAGGACACATAATATGGTCGCTTTTAAGCACAAGGGGGCTATCCCGAAAAATGCTGTTTTGAGAATATCGAAGTTAAAGGTTGTGCCCCTTGTTCAATTTCTTTCAAAGACAAGGACAGCTTTCTAAAAAAAAAAATTTTTTTTAATATACACACTAATGAAACCAAACTTCTCCTTTAGGTAGGGCAATGCCCACTTTTGGTGTTGGTCAAGATTTCTGGAAAACCCCGAAATCTGGGTTAGCCCGCTTGTCCTTAAAAGCGACCATATACACATGAACATTCAAAACAAGCGAGAGTGGTAATATGGGTTAGAGACAATAGCTGATGATTATGTCCCTTTTTCCGAAATGTGTCTGTCAATGACATTCACAATTTAATGGCTTGACATTTAATCAAAAGTGTTTTATTCAATGAAAGATAAAAATAAAAATCTTATAATAATTACGTACACTCCCTTTCTTGCCCAAAGAAACTATAGCGTTTTGGCAAGAAAATCTACGTATCATTGGAAAGTCTACTTCTTACCATCGGCAAGTTTTTTAACTGCCATAAGCCCAGCAAGAAAAACTATTCAGGAGAGAGAAAAACTGCATTAAAAAAACAACAACAGTTTTTAAATCACTTCAACGTTTCGAAACATATTATGCGACCTATACGACAAATTAAGAAAATGTGATAAGAACATTTCAATGACGTCATGGGCTTCGTACATCTGAACAGCCTGCTGAAGCATCATGGTGAAATCGGGCGCTCGTCAAAATGATTAAGTCGAAAAAATCCACATATTCCCACCCGTTTGGTAGTTTCTATAGATTTTTTGTTTTTTGTTTGAGGTTCAACACCTTTTATTTGCGTCTCAAAACTCATTCCTGTGTGGATTTTACTGAAAACCGTTGATCAAAGGGACAAAGATGTAAATGTGCAGTTTCGAAGGACAGTCACCTAACATTGGTGACCATTTTCTTGCAAATTTCCCATCTGAAAAAAGGCGACCCTCACCTTCTTCAATTATAAACATCTCTACTACTATATGTTTCAAAATCGACGCGTATTTTTTTTTCAGCAAAAGCAAGGCAAATAAACTGGCTTTAATATTAAACCGATAACTCCATAAATATACCTAAAAATAGACGAGCGCCTGATTCAATTCAACTGCGTGGTGACTTTATCCTTTTACCGACTCCAGTGGCGTAATGGTTAGGCACGTTGTCCTTGTAGGCCTACGCAAAAAGTGAGTTCAGTTCCCGAGGCGGTGGAACTTTCGATCAAGTATGCTGGGAAGTTGTATCCCGTTCCGACTAGGTGACCTTGACGGGATGGGTCAGAGCAGACCGGTTCCTTAATTATCTAAAATTGTGTTGATATGGAGTTGGGGTGGGGATGGGAGCGGGGTTGCAGAACAAAATGGTAAACTTGCTATTTTGTTCTTTTTTTAGTTTTACTAAGGGTTTTCCTATAGCGTTTTACTTCTACAGAGGGGACGTTTTGGCCCACCGTTTTGTTGCTGGGCTCCTTCAGTTCGCCTAAACTATCGTCCTGTCAGCACATTATTTAGAATACTGAAAAAAAATCTACTTTGCAACAACAGCACTACTCCCGAATCTGTAATAAGATTTTTTAAATATAATAATAACATCTTCTATTCTCCTTCTACGGAAGCCTGTCCAACGGCCCAAAAACCTTCCACTCCTGTTGTTTGTTCTTCCATATCCCCACAGCTTAAACTTGTCCACGAGATAAGAATGTTTTTATTCACTGGCTCAAGGAGCTGTTGAGAACCAGAAAAACACCTTCTTTGATATATTTTTTGTAAACTTCATGCACTGCATTGATAAGCTGTGGACCCCATAGCATTATTTTGTTCTGCAGTCATTCGGAAAAGAAGAATTCACCTTGTCCCCACTTTCTGATAACTGCACAAGTAACTCAAAATTTTTAATACCTTTGCACAAACAATAAATGTGCACTGTGATTATCAACTCTAGCCTCAAGTGGTAAAACAGTGCACATAAAAAATTGGCCAACAATTGAAAATCTGGTGTGCAAATCTGAGAGAAATCATTTTCCTTTCCCTCGTCCTATACAGAATATCTCAAATTCCCAGCTCAGTGTCTGAAAGGAACAAGAAAACCACTTTCATTACAACATGCTCAGTGTCTTGTGGGTGCAAAACAACTAAACACAAACGTTTGTATTAATTATTATGTTTCTCATGTCTTTTTGTGGCTTTGATAAAACTGTTTTATAATTCTATTTCTCAAAGATCCAGCTTTTGCAACTGCAGCGGTTTGTTTCATAAAACACGCCGACCTCAGTTGAATTGGCAGAGAGAGTAAGTGTACTTTCAAATAATCTAAATGTCTTTTATAGAGATGGTAAACCCAAGAAAACAAGAAATTGTTGAAATGACTAATCTTTTTTCGCTGATTCGACAAATTACGAACTAAGCCATTTCTGTGTTTAAAATTGATAAAATGAATAGTTTGAGAGATTTCTTTTGGTATGGAACACAACCTTTTATGTTAGGGTTGTATTGTATTGTAAAGCGCTCAGAGCCTGTGTACTTTAATCGAGGTTAAGTGCTAAATAAATATCCTGTATTATTATTTCTATTATTATTGTTATCATTATATTACTATTGTC